AGTGCCTCTGCCTTGGCAGGGGGATTGGTCTAACCTGAAAACTCCCATATGTACGGTGGCTGCAAAGAAGATGTATACACGGATCCGTTCCCTACCCTCTATTGATGAAACATGAAAGGCGTGTTTTAGTAGGCTATTATGCAGTCGGCAAGATTGATTATTCGCTAGTTGCACGTAGTGACCTGTGTGGATGTTTTCTTTTTCATTATTCAATTTCCTTCATGGTTATATTTAACAAATATTTATATTTTTCCTTTAACCCACATTTAAAGTTATTTCGCACACAAAACGGATGGAGAGTGTCATGCAAATTAACATAACCGTAACGATTAAATTTTCACGTCTTAGCAACGCATTATTCAGCTCGCAGAGGGATTGTTACTAAGACATGCAACTCATGTCCGGTCAGTCTTTGTTTATTAGGGCTAAGGTGCGCAAACTAATCTAGCTTCTAGTTTGGTAACCTCGGTAGTTTACAGGAATGGGCTGGTATGTCAGCCAATAAAAGTGCCCCTTGGCTGTTCAGCGTTGAATTTCTGCTGCAGTTGCCCCGTGGTTGCTAGGTTTTGCTATCAGGATGCCTCATATTGAGCTTTTATACCATGCCATTTAGGGGAAAAATAACCGCAAGGGTTCTTATAATTCTCATTTAGATCTTTGAAGATCTAAGAATTTTCAGTGGTCGAGCTGACCGAAAAATCTAGTTACGTTGTCTAATCAACGAACGCTTTAAGTTTAGGATAAACCCGTAAGCCTATCGATTTTTTGGTCGCTTTGCGAAAAGTTTAAGTTTGAAAAACTAAGGCGGCTAATAATAAACTCCTTGGCAGGGGTGGAATAGCACTGAAAAAAATGTAAAAAGTCTAAAATAGAAAAGCACGGTTGATGAAGGGCTTTGCAAAATATAGTTGCGTTTCCATGAGCATCGGAAACCTTAAGATACATGTATGTTTGCTATTTTTTCCCCTGTATTATACATAGATTCCCAGGAAGTGCCAGTGTGTTACCACATGCGCTTATTGAGTTTATATTATATTTGTCGTGGTTTGGTAATTTTCACTGGAAACCATGCTTAGTGCAAGTATGTAAGTAAGTATGTTTGTTGCATGAAGTTCAGCGCATGCTTAAATGCGTGCCAGCTAGTTGAATTTCTCGCTCAATTCTTCGTACTTCCTAAGGATGTTTGAATTAGGCTTTTACACATTACGGTCTGCCGTCAATAGCAAATCTAATTTCCGTGCTTTACTCAATGGACCAAGTAAGTTTGAATAGGGAAAGCGTGTTAGTAAAGGTCTTGTCGGGCTTTCCATCCTACGAATGTGTTTACTGCTTACGTCGCTTCATGCATTAATCCAGTATGTCTGCAGATTAGTCTAGTTTCATGTATTTTTTTCCTCGTGCGCCACATCGTGAATCAGGATGATGATATTCAACCTGCATTTCTCCTTACCCCTGAACCGTAGGGCATTAGAGTATTTTGCCATTTAAACCGTGCAACAAACGCTTATTTAGCTAGTGAACATTCTATGTTATCAAAATCCTATTTTAGATATCCGTTAGTCTTTTAAAATAACGGCTCGTGAACTCGTTGAATACTGACGATGACTGCGTCCTTGTACGTCATCCAAGCCCTTTTGCTGGTGCATGTTCATTCCATATCGGCTAACCTTCTGCCCAGAGGCGTCCCGCCAGAATGTAAGTCTTTACCTTTTTCTCCCATACGACTTCCGTAGTTGCTCCATTCTACGTGCCCGGCGAGAATTTTACCTGTCTGGATAAGTCAGCTACTCATCCCTGGAGCCGGGTCAATGATGACTATTGCGACTGCCGAGACGGTTCCGATGAGCCCGGCACATCAGCCTGTATAGATATGAAGTTCTATTGCGAAAACGCCGGTCATAAGAGCAAATTTATTTTTAGCAGCTTTGTGAACGATAAAGTTTGCGGTAAGCGATTGCTCCGTTTTTTCAGTATCTAACCCCATTACGCAGATTGTTGCGATGGATCCGATGAATACCTGGGATACGTCACCTGCGCCAACACTTGTGGGTAGGTTGGCTCTTTCGATTTGGTCTGCTTTCTACTGCCCACCACCTCTACTCTTAAGGCCTCTTTATTTTTGAGAACTTATTTCCTATTGCATGAAATCTAAAGCGCGCCAACTTTGCAAATATGGACAGTTGGAGCGCCTTCGTAAAGTCCACTTGATTTTAGAGCTGCTTGAAGTTATGTGGTTATCTGTAGCTAACACAATTTCCTAAAATCTGATACGCTAGACGCAAGCAGTGCAAACGTTTCGGTGATCGTTATCCTTATGTAAGTGCTTGAGACGCAGTTGTTGCTGGTCCAAAGGAGGATGGATGAGGGGCATAGGCGACCAGTAGTAGCACTTTTATATCCAAACGTTTTTAGGGAAAACCCGAACGAACTCAATAGGCAACATTCTTCTCTAGTTGCATTTATCCGACCTTTTGCCCAGGTGTGGCCGCTTTTATAATTCGAGTTTTTTTAATAAGAGAAGAAAATCAGGTACCTGTGTTTTCGCTACTGCACTACATGTTTTGAGAAAGGCATTTATTGCTCTAAACCAGGGGTCGGCAACCTTTTTAACTCAGAGAGCCAAGAAAGCAAATATTTGGAAATATATTTCAGAAAGAGGAGGTATGGTATATTTTAAAATGAAATTCTACTAAATGCGAGTATAATAAGCCTCTGAATTTATTCTTTTAAATAATGTTCTTATAATACTCATTGTTAATGTGACTTCTGGCGTTGCATGGATTCGCTGAGGGTTTTATAGTCTGGTCGGTAGTTGGTGAGGTTAAGCTTCATGCAAGCGTTGCGGCTTCCATCCGTTACATATGATCTTATTGTGGACTTGATGTATCTAAGATGTGAGAATGACTGCTCACAT